TTTCAAGCTAGTGGGAAGGAGATACCACTATGCACTGGAATAGCTATGGCAATGCCCTATACCCTCAAAAGCATAAATCCTGCGTCGCAACCAATCCATCAACAGCACCACCTCTATGGAAGCAGATAGGCGTAAAATGGAGCACCAACGCCACTCCGGATAGTGGACTCTGCGCATCTCTAGAAACACCCCTATTTGCCGATTTGGAGCAAACTTCAACACTGATACTGAGTAGCTGAGACGTCTTCAATATAAACACTACTTCAAGGATAGTGACATAACGAGACAACACATGATGGCACCAGAAGACCCATCCCAATATGTGCTCCCAGACTCCGATGCCTACCGATGGCTCCGTGCTAAACTGGAAGTGCATAAGGTCATACTAGAATGGCTGTCAGCAATGCCCATTTGGAAATGGGAGAGGATTATTTGGGAATAGCCCTAACATTCCCAGATGTCCTAACCCATTACCGTGGGGTATCTACACAGCTGAGATTCCTTCCTTGAGCAACCACCGAGGGAAACTATTTCAGCGCCGATTCTGGAAGTTACCAGCTCCGTGTTTATGGTACCAACCCCTCGCATGGTTCTGAACACAAGGGATACGCTGAGCAGCACTTCGCATTCGCTGTTGTACTCAAGGCAGTGGGACTAGCAGACCGCGTGGTGGACAGGGTTACTACTAGTGATTTTGCTCTCCATTCCTGCAGCACTACGATGCTGAGAGGGTACAACTCGCGACAACCTCAAGGCATAGACCAGCATTCGATAGAAGCTGCATGTATTGGATACAACACTGCTACAGAAGCAATACTATGACATGACTGCCATACCACCAACTCTTGGTGATCTTCACACGTGGACAAGATGCATTTAACAGCATGCACAGAGCAAACAACATATCCATTCATCTGCACGTTACAGCACACTGTTCCTGTTGGTTAGAGAAGGCTATAAGCAGATGATTCAATGGCTCCTTGGAAATTTCTGCAGCACTTCGTTATGACGCCCAGAAAACTCGCGACCTTCGAATAGCTATATCAAAAACTCCAATCGGTGAAACGATCTGAAAATCGGATATGTTGTAGCTGGCAGTGTCAGCTTTCCACTGAAAGTTGAATCACTCGATTCCGTAGCTAAACGAGTGAGCTATGGCGTTTGGCGCACTGGGGGGTAATCTGCCCTAGGAGAAGTTGACAGTCCTCAGAGTCACTATGATTGAAGCTTACAAGTTCAGAGACATGATGGAAAAGGCATTGAAGCATAGTTGGAAGGTGGGGTAGGAAGTGAAGGATGAAAGGGAAGGACCCTGGAGGCCCATGGTCAAGAACATGACAAGAGTCAAAGTTTTGACTCCCCATCCTCAGGTTCAGCCAGCCTGGCAAGACAAATTTCACACTGTGCCAGGTTGGCCTCCAAACCCCAAATGCTGCAGCTGCAAGGTGGGGACAAAAGTCCCACACATGCTGGTCCCTCCTCGTTATAGGGCTCTCCAGCTTTGGTGTAGCAGCTGACAAGGACTTCCAATGAGTTGTAACAAATCCATCAAACATTTCTTCGTAACTTCTTCATATGTGCTCCGATTCCAACAATTCTTGGCTCGTTGGAATGTGCTCGATGTCATGCACAATCCAAGCACATCTGCACAAGCACAAGATGAACATGCAAAGACATGCAAACCCAACAAACCATACAAACAACGTAGCACACAAAACACATGCAACGAAATGATGCGAACAGACGACAGGATGACGTGCAAACGAATATGCACCAACACACTCCCCCTCAGACTGTCGGCTTGTTTCGCCGTCTCTAGTTCAAGGACATTCCCGCCATCCTCGCACAGCGCCAGTGTGGCTCTTCAGCTAGCCGCTTGGTAAGGAAGTCGGCTGGCTGTTGCTGAGTTTTCACGTAGATCGGATCCAGTGTCCCAAGCTTCACCTCCTTCCGCAGCCAATGCCACATGATCCTCATGTGCTTGTTCAACCCATGAAGAACTGCATTGCGTGCCATGGCAATGGCTCCCTTGCTATCACTGAACAGAGGTGTCGCACAAGTCTGTTCATGGCCGATCTCCTTCAAGAGCCTCCTTAGCCAGATGATTTCTTTTGCCGCATGAAACATCGCCATGTACTCAGATTCCACTGAAGATAGTGCCGTCTCAGACTGCTTCTTGGACCTCCAACTTACAGGCCCACCTCCCACCATGCAGATGTATCCACCAACTGATGATGCATCCTCATGCTCAGAAGCCCACGTGGCATCAGCAAAACAGGAAAGGAACACCTTTCCTTCTCCGAGCTGCTCCCCCTTCTCTTTGAGGACTTCAATTCTTTTTTGACTGAGTTGAGCAGAGGCTGAATACTGTACTCCCACTGTAGGGTATGACTTGAGGTAGCGCACCACTCTCTTCGCTGCACCACACTGCTCTTCTGTTGGATTTTGCACTACTCGAGCCAGCTGTCCCACAGCAAAGCTGATGTCAGGCCGAGTATGCACAGCAGCGTAGAGTAGGTTCCCGACCATGGATTGGAATTGCCTCTGGTCTTCACTCTCAACTCCTTCTCCTTCAGCTGCCTTTATGAGTTTGAACTCGGAAGGCAAAGGTGTGACCACTTCCCGTTCTTCCTGCAGAGAGTACTTCTCAGCCAAGGTGTTGATGTACTGTCCCTGATGCAGTTTGAGCCAGCCACGTTCAGTATCCCGCTCAATATGCATTCCCAGGTAGTACCTTGCCTCTCTAAGTGACTTGCACTTGAACTGCTCTGTGAGCTTCCGCTGCACCCCATCGATCTCCTTGTCACTGCTGCTGAAGAGCAGGATGTCATCCACGTACACCAGCAGAAGCACAAGCGACTCCCCCTCGCTCATCAGGAATAGGCTCTCGTCGCATGCACTCGCACGGAATCCAATCCCTTCCAGTGCACTGGCCAGCCTGTTGTACCAGCATCTCGGGGCCTGCTTCAAGCCATAGATGGCCTTGTTAAGTTTGCAGACACGACCGGTTCCATCCTCATAGCCAGGTGGTTGAACCATGTATACCTCCTCTTCCACAATGCCATACAGAAAAGCGGTTACGATGTCCATCTGCTTCACCTTCCATTTGCGCACAGCAGCTACCGCCAGCAGCACACGTAGCGTTGGAGACTTAGCAGTTGGGGCAAACACTTCTTTGTAATCTTCCTTCGCTTTCTGCTGAAACCCCTTTGCCACCAGCCTGCTCTTGTAAACTGATGGCTCTCCTTTCTCATCCGTCTTGATTTTTGCCAGCCACTTGCACTGTATTGCCTTCTTCCCATTTGGCAAGTACACCAGGTCCCATGTGTGATTCTCCATCTTGCTGTTGTACTCTGCATCTCTTGAAACGAGCCACTTCCCCCGTTGAGGCCCGGCTAGCGCATGATCCATGCTCGGAGGTTGTATTGGTGCGTAAAAGCAGTATGCAGGCTCCTTGTCATCTGACTCTTGGTCATCACCCAAGAACAGCACTGCATCTTCGCCTTGAGCCTGTTCCTGCTGCTCAGTTGTGGCTCCTCCACTTGTGGAGCTCAACAGCTTTCTCATTGCCATTCTGGTACGTGCAGGGTAGATGGTTGGATTTACCCATTCTTTCACCTTCACCCAATCCTTTGTCCCCCCACCAATCTGTTTCCTTCGCTTTGACAGACTTGGTGTTTTGGAAGCCTCTTGCTGCTGCTGCTCCGGATCCTTGACTTCAGCATCAGCTGCAATATCCTCATTGCTTCCTTCATCAGTACCGCTTGCCGTTGGCGCAGTGACTTCGCTGTCCTCAGGTTCGGACAGATCGAAGTGCATAGTGATCTCTTCCAGCTGCTGGGTGACCCTTGCCTCCGGCTGCTTCTCCCACTTGCCATACATGATGTTCTCCACAAATTTGACATCCCGACTATCAAACAGCACATTCTTTGAGGGCTCCCAGAGTAGCCACCCCTTGCTCTCTGCCGCAAGCCCAAGGTGCACACACCAAAGTGCAGATGCTCCAAGCTTTGTCCTGTACGGTTTAGGGACATGCGCCACTGCCATGCATCCGAACACTCGAAGCATGTCCACTGGAGGCTTCTTTCCAAGCCACCTCTCCAGCGGCACCCACATATCATCAGCCACCTTTGTGAGTACGCGGTTCCTTGCCACTGTAGCATGCCTCACCGCATGAGGCCACATGGAGTTCCCCAGCCCTGATTCGATCAGCAGCGCTCGCGCAGTTTCCAGGATGGTCCTATTAGCCCTCTCAGCAACGCCATTTGACTGAGGGGTATAGGACGTCGTTAGCTGATGCTCAATGCCTTGTTTCTTGAGCCACGCAGTCAGATCTCCTCCTAGAAACTCTCCACCTCGGTCGGTTCTGATGCTCTTGCATGGGTGCCCAGATTGTCGCTCGACGAACGGCAGCCAATCATCTCGTATTGTTGAGGCAGCATGATCCTTCTGCTTCAACGGGTATGCCCACATCAGCCGACTCCAGTCATCAACTATTGTCAGGAAGTACCTTTCCCCCTTACTTCCTCGGACTGGAAAAGGTCCTACGAGGTCCATGTGCACCAGTTCCAGTGCTGCCTTGCTTTTCCCAGCTACGCCGTGAAAGGGGAACCGTGTGAACTTGCTCAGCAGACACGTCTCGCACTTGGTAGCATTTGGTTGCCCAGAAAGCTTGAGCCCCTTTACTGCTTCTTCCTTATGCAGTTGCTGCAGCAATGGCATAGCCACATGCCCTAGACGCCTGTGTGCGGTTTCCCAATCAGTCTCCCCCGACCTTGCAGAAACCGTCACTCCTGCAGCACTAACTGCATTACACTCCCCCTGGACTCCAGAACCCGCCTTTACTTCTCCCAACTCCTTCTTTGTTGATTCCCATATCAGTGCAGGGATCTGCCACATGGATCTGAAGACATCTCTGCTTTCGTGTAAATCCCATAACACACGATCTCCTCGCAGCCCCTTGAATGTTTTGGATCCATTGGTGGTGGTGCTGACTCCGGCCTGGCCTAGCTTGCGCAGCGATATCAGGTTGGCCTTCAGCCCCGGTACGAGTAACACATCCTTCAGCACAACCAGTCCACCATCAGGTGCTCTGAATGCAGCTCGACCAACTCCAGCGACCTTCACTGCATGTCCGGATGCTGAGCGCACTTCAGAGATTGGAGGCGCTCGCACAGCATCCAGCAAGTCCTTGCGTGGTGTCATTGTCCATGCAGCACCAGAGTCCATGACCCACATGTCAAGCGGGTGCAATTCCTCTCCAGCCCTTGCAACAGCTGTGCCACTGTCATCTTTGTCACACACATGGTAGAACTGTCCAGCATTCCTCTCCTCATTTCGCATTCCTCTGTCATCCTTGGAGGTTTCTTCAGCAGGATCAGCTACCATGTTGGCACCTCCATGTGGTTGTTTTCCTCCATTCCCCTTCTCCGATTGGTTCCAAGGGGTCCACCAGTCGGGCTTGGTAGGGCAGCGAAACCATGGATGCCCTTCTTCCTTGCAATACCAGCACTCTCCCCTCAAGCGTGGTTCACTGTTGTCATTGTTGGAGTGACCACCTCTTCCTCTTGCACCAGCGCCACCACGCCCCCGCTGGTTCCAAGTCCCGCGACCACCTTGGCTGTGGTAAGAGCGACCGCGATTGCCACGCCCTCGATCCCTCCATGTCCCTTGCATGGCATAGCCGCTGGTGCTGTCATCACCTCCGCGCAGTGTATAGCGACGAAAATCTTCTTCCAGAATCTTGGTGCGAATCCACTCCAATGTCCATTGACTTTGGTTTTGTGGCAAGCTGAGTCCGCTTCTAAATTGCAGCCAAGACTCCGGCAGCAGGCTGAGCATCTTGAGACACTTTGTCTGCTCTGGGTACGTGATGCCTGCAATCGCCAATTTCGCGTAGAGTTCCCTCATCTTGTCCAGTACGGGCTGCACAGCTTCATTCTCGCTCAACCGCAGCATGGACAGCTCCCGATCCAGCATGAGAGAAGCGGCAACCGATGTCGGAGCGTGCAGGTCCTTGAGCACTGCCCATGCCTTGGGCCCACAATCAATTTCCGGTAGCAGATGCATGATGTGATGCCTCTGGTTCAGCTCCAAGCTTTGTGACAGTAGATAGTACCCAGCAGATGAACGTTCATCCCAGTCCGCTTGCTCTGCCATTTCCTTTGGCCTTGGCTCCGTTCCAATCATGAGCTTCAAGAGGCCAATTTGTCGAAAGTAGAGCTGCATCTTCCATGCCCAATCATCATAGCCATCTCCAGAGAACTTCTCAATGGTGAAGTTCTTCAGCACCTCCTTAAGCAGTGACCCCTGGCTTGTACGCGCTCCCCTTTGCGCTGCAATGCCAGAATCTTGGGTTGAGCTGCCTCCTTGGACTGAAGTATCACCTCCACCAGAGTCCTCTTTATCTCCCATCGTATTTTAGGTCCCAAATGCGTGATAATAGGCTCTGATACCACTTGTTGGTTAGAGAAGGCTATAAGCAGATGATTCAATGGCTCCTTGGAAATTTCTGCAGCACTTCGTTATGACGCCCAGAAAACTCGCGACCTTCGAATAGCTATATCAAAAACTCCAATCGGTGAAACGATCTGAAAATCGGATATGTTGTAGCTGGCAGTGTCAGCTTTCCACTGAAAGTTGAATCACTCGATTCCGTAGCTAAACGAGTGAGCTATGGCGTTTGGCGCACTGGGGGGTAATCTGCCCTAGGAGAAGTTGACAGTCCTCAGAGTCACTATGATTGAAGCTTACAAGTTCAGAGACATGATGGAAAAGGCATTGAAGCATAGTTGGAAGGTGGGGTAGGAAGTGAAGGATGAAAGGGAAGGACCCTGGAGGCCCATGGTCAAGAACATGACAAGAGTCAAAGTTTTGACTCCCCATCCTCAGGTTCAGCCAGCCTGGCAAGACAAATTTCACACTGTGCCAGGTTGGCCTCCAAACCCCAAATGCTGCAGCTGCAAGGTGGGGACAAAAGTCCCACACATGCTGGTCCCTCCTCGTTATAGGGCTCTCCAGCTTTGGTGTAGCAGCTGACAAGGACTTCCAATGAGTTGTAACAAATCCATCAAACATTTCTTCGTAACTTCTTCATATGTGCTCCGATTCCAACAATTCTTGGCTCGTTGGAATGTGCTCGATGTCATGCACAATCCAAGCACATCTGCACAAGCACAAGATGAACATGCAAAGACATGCAAACCCAACAAACCATACAAACAACGTAGCACACAAAACACATGCAACGAAATGATGCGAACAGACGACAGGATGACGTGCAAACGAATATGCACCAACAGTTCCAGCCACTCACATCTCCAACTACAACTTGCACCTGCCCATATATCATTGACGGTGATACACACCATCCTTCCTTCGCTATGGACGGAGCCCGCTCACTCTGTAGCAACAAACAGTTCTTGCTACAGTCCAACTCGCTTACGATTTCATCACCATCTCGAGGATCGGCAACAAAGGCGCCTCTTGGACATCCAACAGCAGCAGAAGCACTTGGCCTCTCATCACTACAGTTACGCACACCATAATCTCGACATCAGCCGTCTTCCATCCAATCTTCAATCTTGCTTCCGGGGGTCTATCCTCGTTGAAGCAAAGGTCACTTCAATCACCTTCCGCTTCCGCCTACCAGCCACTTGGAAGATCCTTCAATACCAGCTACTTAAACCCTATCAAGACCAAATATGCTCTACACCGAATGCCAACACCTGTCGTTGTCAGAATGGCACTCTGGAGCTTCTTCTTTGCTGGAAGGGTTCTGATCCTTGTGAGGCTGCGTCTCTGAATTCGACATGGGTAACGCCCGTCGTCCTCTTCGCGACAACCTTGTCAAGCAGGGTATTACTTCTACCACCCAACTTTGAGGGGGGGAAGTGCGAGAGTACGACCCCATTATACCAATTTCCTCTTTCCATATTTCCTTTCTGTTTCATTCCTCTTTTTATCCTGGTTCATATGCTCTTTATCTCATCTCATTTGGTTTCCTATTTCTGATTTTCCATTATCCTTTGGTTGATACTGTTATTATAATTATATTACCGACCAGGCTCGGGATGTACTGGCACCCTATATCTAGCATAATCTTGCCGTAATCCCTTAAAGCGAATAGCCTCACGTGGCTATACACAGGGTGATTCTATTTCTATAAGGGTCTATTTCCTTTCGATATGATGAACCTGATTACCAGATGTACTCTGCAAGTATAAAAGCACCTTGTACTCATGGATAGTGCAACATTGAGCAAACCTCATTTGATCCTGTGACAAGCCCCCATCGCAGCACCGTGTGTGTCCATCCCAGTCACTTCGCCGCCCACTGCAACCGCCGCCTCGACGACCTCTTCCGTCTCCAGTTCAGGCCTGAGCTGGACCTCCCCGACTGGGACAGCTTGGTACGTTGCTGTGTGCCGGGCTTTGAGATGGATGTGGATCAGATTCGCTCTGCTCTATATGCCATGTATGCTGATGACTCTAGTGTGACTGGACCTTGTTACCCTATGTTGCATAGTGTAGGTGTGTCCACTGTGTGTAGTCTAGGCTCCCCTGCTGTGTCAGGCGTAGGATCTCCTGACTTGTTTAGCCTCGGCTCCACCCTAGTCCCTCCACCGGATGAAGCTACCGCTGCTCTCTCCTTCATGCTGGACTCTGGTGCGTCTGCCTAGCTTCTTTCACGACCACACTGCGCTCACGCCGCTTGCAGCTGTCACATGAGAAGCCTCCATCCGGAATGTTGGAGCCGTGGGAGAGGGCCCAAGAGGAATGGGAGAAGACCTCAGCAGAAGTATGCTCAAACTTTATGGACAATATGCCAAGGAGGATCAGGGCAGTGATTCGGGGAAAGGGACGCTGGACGAGGTACTAGTTTTGCTGGTTTCCAGTTTGCTGCCTGCTCCGGAACAAATTGTCAAGATGTGCTCTCCCTAAATGCTTAGGTGTTTTGAAAGCTTGTACTATACTATTTTGGTTTTATACTACTTGAATCATGGTTCTAGGATCTCTTGTCCAAGTGCATGCCCATGAAAGATCAAGGCTGAATGTTTTTTTAGTACTAGGAGTAAAATGGTTAAATATTGCTCAATATCCGGACAAATTGTTCCGTCACTGTAGCTTGCGACCTCCAGCTGTTGGGCAGTAGAGCGCGTGTCTTTGAAGGCATCTCCCAGCCGCTGCAGCTTGGCTAGGATGCACCTGAGGAGATCGAGGATGAGGGAGAGGGAGGGGAGAGGGAAAGAGAGGCCGGCATTGATCCATTCGTCCTAAAGCAGCTTGGCCAGAAAGCACCTAAGAGACTCGAGGGGGATCTAGAGGGTGAGAGGAATACAGAGAGCCAATATTCTTGTGAAAATTGTTTTAATCCATCTCTCAGCCGATGCAGCTTGGCAAGAATGCAGCTGAGGGAGGAAAAAAATGGAATGAGAAGGGAGGGAGGTGATGAGGAGAGATCAGCTCAGTATTAATTCATTCATTCGTCATCTCCCAGTTGCGTCAGCTCGTCAAAGATGCAACTGAGGATATCAAGATAGGGGGGTTGTGTTTTTGGGGGGAGGGGGTGGGGGGGAGGTGAGGAAAGTAGGGAAGCGGTCGAGAAGAAGGGGTCCAAGCGGGATGTGGAACCGCTGGGACACGGGGATGCTGCAGTGGAAGGCAAGGAAAAATCAAGGTGACACTAGATTCCGCGCACAAGTCACCTAGAGGGTGGGAAGGAGGGGGTCAAGAGAGATAGAGAGAGAACCTCTGGGACACGGGGATTTGGCAATGGTGGAAGGCAAAACGAGAGCAGCTGGCCAAGACACGAGTAAAGTAAACGAGAAACATCCAACCAGGGCTAACGGCTACAGCCGCATGATGTGAGGTTGCCCAAGTCTCCAGAGTTTTGTCAGGATATCAGTGGGGTTCGCAAGGGTTTTGCAAGGGGTTCATAAGCGGTTTGCACGGGGTTAGCAGGTCATTTTCAAGGGCTTTGCAAGGGTTTTCGAGGAGGGGTTGGAAAGCTAGTGCGAGGGGTTTAACATGTGGAATTCCTCATATTATACGAAATAGACCACGGGTTTTGAAGGTGGTCTGCGATGGCGAGTCAGGGATCATGTGTTTTTAAGTCTCAGGACGAACTAACTCTCTGGGACAAAGGCAATCTCGGAAGCATGATAGAAAAGGTAACCCTGGCGAGGCAGCATGTGAATGCAGTTGTACCGGTCCATCATAGGCGACTGAATCTATGTACCGCTTGTAATCGATGGATGCTGCCTGGCGTGGAAGCACCCTGTGACAGACACGCACCATGTGATGTGGACCCTTGTCAGAAAGCTAAAGAGTTCAGGGAGCGAGGAGGTGAGCGGCGAGAGCTTCAAGCGCGTGAAATGGTGCAAGAAGGTGGCACACAACCTTGAATTTTACGGCGGGCAATACTTACCGCATGATGTGAACACTTGTGAGAAAGCTGAGTAGTTTGGGAAAGGATGAGGTGAGCGGCGAGAGCTTCAAGGACGTGAAATGGTGCAGGTAGGTGCCATCGCACACAACCTTGAATGTTGAGGCAAGCAATTCTCACCACGTGCGTAGGAAAACCTAGCACATTAGGGATTGACGAGGCGACTGGGGAGTGCTTGAGGTGCGTGTCGTGGTGCAGGAAGGTGTCATCGTACACCGCCTTGAACGCTGTGGAGGCACCATGGCCTGACTCGAATGTTGTGGAGGACATATGACCTGACTGACATGCACTGTGTTATGTGGACGCACGTGGGGAAGCCGAGCAGCTTAAGCAGCAAGCGAGTAGAGCTTGAGGCACATGACGTGGTGTAGGAAGGTGCCATCACACACCGCCTCGAACGCTGTGGAGGCACCATGACCTGACTTGAATGCTCTGGAGGCACCATGAACCAACGATATGCACCATGTGATGTGGCCGCACATGGGGAAGCCGAGCAACTTAGGTAGCGATGCAGCGAGCGAGGAGAGCAGGCGCGTGACGTGGTGGAGGAAGGTGCTGTTGCACACAAGTTTAAATGGCTCGTGGAGGCCGTAGCATGTCCGGTAGAAGCGCACGTGGCGCCGCACCTCGCACTACTCTTTCACCGTCATCTTTGTAATAGGAGAGAAGGGTATCCGCCAGCGAGGGTGGGTCTGGCAGCATATGATGTGGGCCAGCTCGGCGGTCCGCGTGAACAAGGCGTGGTTACGGGGTTATGTATGTGGACAGGGGGGGTACAGGAAAATCCAGGGGTATTTTCCTTACAGCAAACCCCTCATGGTGGTACAAAAGAAAACCGTGGCTTATCAGAGAAAACGTATAAATTCAAAAAAATCACCCACAGGCATAAGGGTGGTACACAAAATCAACTCAGAAAATCAGAGAATCATAGTTATTTACTCGTGAAAAATAGGCCCTGCGCAGCACGTCCGGTAGAAGTGCATGTGGCTCTGCACCTCACGCTGCCATTTCACCCTCATCTTTGTACTACTACGAGACCAGTACAAACAGACTCATGAGGCGGAATCGTAAGGAAGATCGTCGGATGGATCGTTAGGCGGGTCGCCCGACGGCGCGTCAGGTGGCTTGAAATTTTGCTACCGAATGGGTCGTATTGTTACTCCTATTCGACATGCACGTGGAAGACTATATAATTTGGCTCTGAAGCTAGGAGAGATCAAAGCTATTCGTCGACGTCCTAAGCTTGCTAGACTATTGGCAAGAAGTAAGTCAGCCATCAGATTTTGACACACCCCTGATCCTCGAAGCCTCAGCTGATGGCCAT